ATAAGACTGAGCAATGAGCAGTACTTCAAACATAGTTTCTGGCTGTTTAATACAGGCCGGGCAGCTAATTCACAACCTTGCAAGTGCTGCGGTGGGCAAATCCCTATCGTCAGACATCTGAGCCTGGGTGAAATTACAGCTCGCCCTTTCAGTCTCTCAGCTGCTATTAGACAAAGTGAGCGTTTGAAGAATACGTCACATACTGTAGGACATAAATTGTACAGGGGGCTGTGCAATACTGAACCAATTTCAGCTTAAAAGGCCAGAAATGCTTTGAGTAAGCAATCCATGAGAAAGATCTAATCAACCTGTTACAAAAATCGGTCCCAAAAATGGAAACTGAACATTGATGTGTGTGCATTCAAGGTTATTCTCAATTTTCTGTGCATACTCTGTTCTGTTTACAGTAATGTGCAGTGAGACAAGGATATTTTAAACTCAAATGAAGTAGGCCTGCTCTATGTTTCTCTCTTAAAAATTGAGAGGCATTGATTCATGTTCCTTTCAGCCTCCGATCACAGTACACAAGAAATTGTTTTTTATACAATAACTATTTCATGTTTTCATGTACTACATGCAAATCAATAAACTGAGAAAAAATTATTAGACTTTTCTCAGATCAAAATAGTTTCACCGTCTGACATGCACACATTGAATGAGATGACTGTACACTTGTGTGCACTGTATTTCAATGTATAAACCTCCATCTTATTTCTAACCACTTGTTATTCATTTTAACCAGGCAGTGTTGTATTAAATCCATGTTTCGCTACAATGCAAACACAGATTAGGTCTCATTCACAAAACGAAACACTATTTGCCTGGCTCAATTAATGTTGTGCTAATACTGCCTACAAAAAAATTTATTAAATAAATGCAAATAAAGGACACAATCAGCAGATCGGGTATCAACAGATTAGCTTAAACTGTTTGGCCTATGCTTGACTGGCCTATGCTTGATAAACTACAGTAATACTTCACATTGTTTACATAAAATTGCATGTTGCATAATGTACGAACAGTTATACTAGTACGCTGCAAACAATTACTTAATGAGGTTTTTAAATAGCCTTTTTGACTTATCCAGTGAAAACATATAATGATCCTTTAAACTAGATAAATATACTTGGAGAGCCACACTTATGCACACCGCATAAGATAATAAGTTTTCATAGTATCTTGAATAAGTGTATTGTGTCTTACTGCACTCAGATATTTTCAGCTTGTTTATACTTAAAACCACAAAAAATACAAAATAAGTGTTGTATTAAATCCATGTTTCGCTACAATGCAAACACAGATTAGGTCTCATTCACAAAACGAAACACTATTTGCCTGGCTCAATTAATGTTGTGCTAATACTGCCTACAAAAAAATTTATTAAATAAATGCAAATAAAGGACACAATCAGCAGATCGGGTATCAACAGATTTGGCCTATGCTTGACTGGCCTATGCTTGATAAACTACAGTAATACTTCACATTGTTTACATAAAATTGCATGTTGCATAATGTATGAACAGTTATACTAGTACGCTGCAAACAGTTACTTAATGAGGTTTTTAAATAGCCTTTTTGACTTATCCAGTGAAAACATATAATGATCCTTTAAACTAGATAAATATACTTGGAGAGCCACACTTATGCACACCGCATAAGATAATAAGTTTTCATAGTATCTTGAATAAGTGTATTGTGTCTTACTGCACTCAGATATTTTCAGCTTGTTTATACTTAAAACCACAAAAAATACAAAATAAAATCTCCCAGTGCAGTAAGACAAAATACACTCATATTAAAGATGCAATCTCTAAAAACAAGCCTTAATATCTTATGCAGTGTTGCTTCACAAGTAAATTAACCTTGTTCAATTATTTTTATTTTAGATATTTTAACTGTATATATATATATAACATGTACAAAAACATGTAATTCAGTCATATTAAGTGAAGTGTGGAATTTCTGTGCCATTAAAATCATCAATACAGAACTGCAAGAATAACATCTGCAATTATTTTAAACAATTAACTAACGTAAGTAACGTTTTGATAGAGTCAGTGTTTTCACTTTTTTGATGGAATCAACATACAAATGGCTTACTTATATAAGTCTCTGCATATTAAGCTGGGGCAGGAGAGAAAAATTACACACTTCAGCTTTAAGAAGACTGTGTAAAGTTATACAGTTTTATCTAATCTGATTTGCCCTTTAACTGGTGCTTCTGTAACTCAAGCAGAAGCTTCCAGTAATTACAGGGAGGACAGAGGAACTTGAGGTTAAGTGTCTAAGGCACAATGGCAATACTTTGTAGATCACTTGCGGTGACCTACATCCATACGGTTAGCTGCCCATATCCTTAACTAACAGGTTACACCACCCCTCACTACAGCGTACATATGAGTGAGAGATATTTGGCTAAGATCTCCATATTTCTCCTGTGTAAGCTGTGTCCTGGCCCTCAGCACTGCTGTGGGTGATGTGCCCTGAGGAGTGATAACCTGAAGCACATCAGAGAGCACAACGGTTACTGGATCAGCTATGAGTTTAACTTCGCACAATGGAGTTTCTGCCATGAAAGCAGAAAGGAAAAGATTCCCTAGAGTTACATGAGCTCATCATGAACAAGCATGCAGTTTTGTACTTCTGTGTAATTGGTGGGTGCTCTCTCTCGCTCTCCATCTCTCTCAGACCGGTATGAGGCAGTCAGTGCTAGATTTAATACTGATGCTTCAGGGAACAATGACACTGGATCCAGCAACAGACCAATCACTGTTAACATACAAGTGTTTGTGTGTGTGTTCCTAGTACACTCAGTCAAACAGTATTTGGCTTGTCTCTCACACACAGACAGATGTTTACTTAGCTATCTAAATAGGGACTTACAACAGACTTATATTGTTTTTTTATATATATATATAAAGATAACTTTACCATAAATTAAAAGGGTTATTCATCTGCCAAACATAGAACAATAGATAGAACGACAGAACTATAGATGGAAGGGCAGAATGATAGAATGATAGATCAAACAACGGAATGATAGGCGAACAGATCAATAGAATGACAGATGGATAGAACGACTGACAGACAGACAGACATAGATGCCTCAATCAGATATCATACTTTCTATCAGATATGAACGATAAAAAGATAGAATGACAGAAGGAATGACAGAAAGATAGACAGAATGACAGAAAATTAGATAGAACAGGAGATAGACATACAGATAGATACATAGAAATATGCCTCAATCAGGTGCTGTGGGCTAGTGTGGAATGCATGCTGCACTGCATGGAGATATGATTTACTATTTAAAAAAAAGACAGCATATGACTAGCTGAGTCACTGAACACGCTCCACTCACTCATTATGAGTTGCATGAGTGAAAAAAAAGTTAACGTTTAAATGCTTTGATGAATCTGCCTTTAAGTGTGATCACGGCTGTTCAGAAACAGAAATCAAGCCGAGCTGTGCATCAAAAGCCCCGACACGCTGATCAGAGACATGCTGTGTGTGTCCCTCTGCATCTCTCCAGCTAGGAAATATAAACACACACACACAACAGCGGCCCATGCGCATTCACAGTCTCTCCCCGTCCAGATGGCTGCTTTGTGGAGAGCCTTCCGCTCTGCAATTACAGCAATATGAAAGTGGTTTCTTTTTTCCCCATTATTTCTGATCAGAGAGGGAAACGGAGATGCCAGCGGGTGTATGAGAGTCTGATAGACGCCCACGCGGGCTAGAACACACTGCATTTAAACGCGCTGCCAGTGCGAGCGAACGCACAAAGGCCCGTGATCAGAGAGAGATCCCATCTGGAGAGAGGCTGCTTTATATGCATTGGGCTACAGTGATGGAGAAGTCCTCAGGGGAGGGTAATAAGATGGCTCTGGGAAGAGGCAAGTGACAGACGCAGGATGAACCATGCTCTGTCTGTCCATTTTGCTTTTATTATGGCCTGATAATATTCTATCGCTCCTCATGGTGTCAGAAAGCTGTCTTTTTAGAAAACTTGGCAGGAGTGACAGAAGACAGAGAGTAAGGAAGGAAAGAAGATCATGGGTTGTAGTTATGGCCTGTTAGCCAATTATCTGTTAGCACCAGGGGTGTAGTAACCACTATACACTTTCGGAAAGTTTGTCACTGGCACTTCAAACAGACAGAATGATTGCTAGACAAAACAACAGCTAGACATTCAGACAGACACACAGACAGAGTGACAGACAGACTGATAGATACAAAAGATCAACAGACAGACAGACAGACAGACAGACAGACAGACAGACAGACAGACAGACAGACAGACAGACAGATAGACAGATAGACAGATAGATAGATAGATAGATAGATAGATAGATAGATAGATAGATAGATAGAATAACAACGATAGATAAAGATATAGACAGAATGATAGCTAGATAGATAGATAGAATAACAACGATAGATAAAGATATAGACAGAATGATAGCTAGAGAGATAGACAGAACAACGGATACCGATAAGACAAAAATATACATCGAATAATCTAGGTAACTAAAGAGATAAACTTTGGTGCTCATGAAGGCAACTTGAGTTCAAATCTGGCTTGTGACATTTTCCAATCCCATTTTCTCTGCTTCAACCCTATAACTATCAAGAAAAGCTACAAATAAATCAAAACAAGGGAGAGATAAAATGGATACAGGAAGCGAGAGATGGTTATATTTTGTTCTTCTTGGTCATTGACAGCACACTGTGCGACACTATACCACAGCTCTAGACCAGTAATCCGTCAGTCGCTGATGTACTGCTGTCACATTCATATGCACACACCTCACTGGACCCTTCCAGAAACAGCAGGCATTCAGTAATGACTGCAATGGCCACATTAATCTGGTCAACACCGGTCAAAGCCGTCAACACTCAGGAACAGGTATAAGATCACATGGATTTTGAGCGCCGCTGCTCTTGTCCATCAAGCATTCCATCATTTAGCCTGCAGAAAGAGATGACAGACTCACTCGTTTGCTCTTCTTGGAGTATGTGTTCTTCAGCAGACGATCTTTCACCCGCTCCTGGTCTCGCCCCATGCTGGTGGCCAGATTGCCGAAGCCATTTTCGTCTATGTCAGGGGGCACATTCTCCTCGGCCTCCTTCTTTCGTTTAACTACAATCTCCTCCCATTTCTTCTTTTCCAGTTTAACCGAAACATTCTTGTTCTGATAGGAGGAAAATGAAAAGGACAGAATGAGAGATGATATCCACTTTCTCTGCAGGTGAGAGGTTCATGATATCAGTTCAATTACTGCAAAACACATCTATATGCATAGCAACATCAAACACCTTTTAAAGACTAGGAAGAGGAAAGAAAAAGGAAGAGGGAAGAGAGAAAGGATAGGAGTTGGAAAAGAGCAAAAAGGATTAAGGAAAAGAAAGTAGCAGAAATTAGCAAAAAAAGAGGAGCGGGGAGAGGAGAGGAGAGGAGAGGAGAGGAAAGGAAAAAGGAAGCGAGTTAAGTGGAGAGAAAGCAGAAAAGGGAAAAGAAAGAGCAAAGAGAAAGGGAAGAGAGAAAGAAAAGGAGGGGAGCAGACAGAAGTGGAAAGAAAAGGAAGAATAAGAGGAAAGTAGGAAATGAGGAAAAAGAAGGAAAGAAACGAGAGGAAGAAAAGAAAAAGGAAATTAGTGGAAGAGGAAGAAAAGAAGTAGTAGAAGAAGAAGCAGAAAGGAAAGGAAAAGGAAGAGGAAAGGAAGTAGAAGAGGGGAAAAAAGGAAATGAAGAGGAAGACGGAGGAAGTAGAGAAGATACAATAAAGAAGTGGAAGAGAGAAAAAAAGGAAAAGAAAAGCCATTCCCAAAGCCCTGCATCTGTTTCATGTTTCTCCATGATAATCATAGGGTGACTATTCCAGTAAGTCTGATATCATTCTCTGTTTCTACTCAATTATTGTGTGATTACAAGCAAAACTCAACGAGAAAAACACGTCAAAATACTATACAGCTCTGTAACATGACCTTGTCTTTTTAAATGAACTACAGCTACTCACAGTTGGAAAAACACATGGGTTCAGCTCATATAAATAAAGACACATTTGCAACATGTCAAAGAGCACAGCAAAATATCAAAACAAATCAATGCATTTGAAGATGAAATTAAACATAACTGGAGTAAGATTGTGTACAAGATTGTACACACTTTTCGGTTAAACATTCAGAATCATGCACGGTATGAATTTTCACAAAAAAAAAACAATAATAACAATTTATACCTCCATAATGTTTTGTTGCAATGGCTTTTTGTGGCATTTATTTACATTGAAACATTAGCAATTAAAAGTATGTTAATTCACTGAAAATATCCAAACCTAAACAAATGGAACGAATGGTTTATGTTTATAGATAACCAGATCATGCACCTCTGTCCTTATCTATGCCTCTGTAGGGTAATATTCACCAGGACATTCAATTCAATCAGGGGCTTATTTTTTTTAAAGTCTCCTTCATCGATGACCCATCAGACTCAGGACATCCAGAGGACATAAAGCCTGAAATAGGAAAGCTTAGAGCTGGGTGGTATGGCACTATATGCGTGATGCTGTCACGGCAACCAGATACATCGCACGTGAATTACTCGTGCTATGTCTATTTTTACTGCGCTAGCAATAAACGCATTGAAAATAAACATGTATATAGACATGTTTGCCACAGAATATCAAAGTAGGCTTTTCAAATTAAGGAGTGAATTTTTCATCCACTGCTTTAAAGGAACACTCCACAATTTTTGAAAATAGGCTAAACTCTGCAGGACAGGTGGTGAAAAAAAAATCACAGGATAAAAAATTCTCTCGCAAAACTTTTGCATTCCCCCGAGAAACTTTGCATTCGCTTGCAAAACATTTGCATTCTATCGCAAAGATATTTGCGTTCATTCGCAAATATATACGTGTTCGCTCACAAACTTTTTGTGTTTGTTCGCAAACCCTGTTGAGTTTTGACAAACACTTCATGTTTACTTTACAGCTTGCAGTGGTCCAAACACCTCCGTATGTGGAGAGGTTCATAGAGTTTTATTTTGAACTTGGACTAAAGTTTAAAGAAATACGGTCAGTGCTTAATTCAAGGCACCGTTTTGGGACATTCTGAAAGGCTTAACATGGCTTAATGTACTAAAACAGAGACATTGATTGGAAGACCAAATTCAGTACACACCTTATTAATAAAGCATATGCTATTTACAGTCAAGCAGAATAGCCCAAAATATAAGTTTATTCAACAAATAAAATACAACTGATTAAAAAAATAACATCATAAAGTTAATTAAAATAAAACACAATTTATAAAAATATTTAAAAAAAAAAAAAAGTTTTTAATTCAATGGAATTTAAAAAAAAAACGCAATGTATAAACCAATTTTTTCCCCATTGAAATACCAAGAAAAATTATTATACGTTTGTTTGTACCAGTTTGGTCACACTTTCAGTCAGCGCTAACTGTCATGGAAATAATTTTTTGCTGTCAGTTTTCAGGCAAGATACAGCATATAAACTTTTTTTTCTTCTTTAAACCATGAGTAAAATAGATTTTCAAAGGTCATCACAGTTGAAATGATGCAAATAATAAGCTTCAGTTAAGAAACCCACCATGCGTTTACAAACTAATCTTTCACAAACAAAGAGGGTCAAGAGTGAACATGCAACATAACAAAACCAAAGAAAATCTAACAGCATCTGGAAAGATTCTGGTATTTCGAATCGCTGGTGAATGCTGGGTCATGTGGTATAAATTAGAACGGCTCACTCTGAATGACCACAAGGCCTCAGAGAGCAAACATGACAAACCACTGAGATTTGGTGGGAGAGGGAAAGAGTTTATTCCATTCCATCATACTCATCTAAACCACCTGCATCTGGTCAAGAAGCATGTCCTACAATCTGGCAACCAGCGCTTCCACAGGAATATCTGGCAACATAAACCACTACAGGAAATCAGTGGTTAGTCAGCTTACGCTCACTATCCACTGTTCCTTTTCATCCACGACTGAATCCAACATAACATAAAAAACAATAAACACATCCATGTTGAAAGAGCATGCGAGAGTGATATGTTACAAAGTTACAAAGACTTGAAATCAGCAGGGAACTATACTGTAACAGAAATGAGTATGAAATCATGCACTACCAAATAGAGAACATATTTGTAAGAAATGAGCTATAAGCTCGAAGAACAATGAAGTCTGTCCAAAAGAATAAATATCAATAGTTCAGAGGAGTTAACCTGATCTGCCTTTTAGCAGCCACAGCAGGAGATGCGAAAGAGATTAAATATTGATCAAATGACACAGTGGCTTCCTCTGAATAAAAGAGAAGAAAACGATAGACAGTCTGTGTGTTCAGGTCTTTCAATAGCAGTTTTAGCTGTTTTGAGAATGTGGTTGTGGTGGCTTAATGGAAGAGTTGAACGAGAGAAAAAAAAGAAGAAGAGTGTGTCATCATTTGTGTACTATATACATGGACTATGTTACAAGACAAGATATATAAATATTAAATATATGCTCACCAAGGCTGCATTTTTAAAATAAAACATAGTAAATAAAAAATAAAGCATAAATGAATATAATCTATTTGAATATATATATTTTTTTATTTGTAATTTATTTAAGCTGAATTGCAGTCATTACTCCAGTCTTCTGCATCATTTGATCCTTCAGAAATCATTCTAATATGCTGATTTGCTGCTTAAGAAACATATAATATTATCAATGTTGAAAATGGTTGTGCTGCTTAATATTTTTTTATTGAATAAACCATGATACATTTTTATTTCAGGATTCTCTGACGAAGTTCAAAAGAACAGCACTTATTTGTTTTTTTGGTAACACTTTAGTATAGGGCCCAATTCTCACTATTAACTTTAGCTTATTAGCATGACTATTATTAACATATTGGCTGTTTATTAGTACTTATAAAGCACATTCTGCATGACCATATTCTATTTGGTCTACTGTATTTGTCCCTCACAAGGGAAATTTGTTTTGGGCAATACAGGTAAAACTGCACAAGCACGATATATCGTTTCAGCATCGATATCGCGATGTGCGCATCCGCGATAGTCACATCGCAGGATGTGCGATATTTAGTATAGGCTACTGATCGTTATATTTATACTGATTGTTTTCTTTACAGAGATACCCATTTTATATACATTTAGTAGCAGAGCTACTGCTCGCGATTTTCAGTGCTGGAAATCCATTTATCCTTTGTTGAAACTTCCGCGCCGTCGTGGAGAGTGCAGGTCACGGTTGCTTAGCAACGGTAGATACCACGAAAGCGCAAGCTCCCGAGCGCTTTGGAAAGGAGGAGAAAGCGGCGCGACTGGCGTTTTCCCATGCATTTTTAGGCGCGACATGTGAACGGCCCCAAAGTCTGTCTATACTGGACGCAAACAAAGCGACTGTTGCCAATCATTTGAACTTTGTGTCAGTACGTCATAAAGAGAACACGGCATCAGTTTACTTTCGGGGATTTGTCATGTTGCGCTGCATCCAGTGTAGACAGCATCACTGATTATAATGGGTTCATTGCATTTTGTCGCGCCGCTCGCGTCCGGTGTAGACACGGTAAGAGCCACGCAGATGCATGTGAACACTGAATTCTGTTCACTTCTGTGTCTATTTGTGCCTGAAATACTGTGCTCTGCAAGTATCCTTGTAGGTGAAGGTAAACAACTGAGAACGAAAATGGATGTGTAACAGTAGTTTAATGTTCCTGAGGCTTTCTGTGTTATGAATGTTAATCAAACAACAAAAAGAAAAATCACTTTTGTAGCTTTAACACAGATTTATTAGATTTAATTTATACAGTGAAGACTATGCAGTGTTATTT